TGTTTCATTTCAAATCCATTGTGGTTGTGTATAGAAAAAAAAAAAACAAACCCATTCAGCCAAAAATGACCGAAGAATTTAGAATTGTGTCGATGTCCCAATATTTATGGACCTCAACTGTACCATGATGGTGTGGAAAGGTGAAAGCATACCACCTCATCAGTGAAAAATTTGATGTATTGTGCAAAAACTGTTCATTTTTTTCAGTAATGCAGCAACTTAAAAGGTGAAACTAATATATGAGTAGACAATCAAAGCATTACATGCAAAGCAAGATAGTTCAAGCAATCGTAATTTGTCATAATTGTGATGGTTATGGGAACTGAAGACAGTTAGTAGCTCATGAAACCCAGCGTCTGGTGATGTCCAAATCCACAATCTCAGAAAATTAGAAAAATTTGATTTGTGAAAAGGTGCAATATTCTAGGCTCAAAGTGTCCCACTCTAATCAGCTAATTAGGCCATAAAAATTTGACCTGCAAAGGGTTCCTGAGCCTTTAAATGTTCTCTCAGTCTGGTTCAGTAGGAATCACAGATCATGGGTCATAACTGCTGACAGCTGAAAATTAGTTGTGGAGAAAACCATCATTGACACCCAAAGGGTTCCTCCTTTATAAGTAGGGAAAGCCTCAAAAGTTGGATGTTCCCAAAGTGCTGTATTAAAGCACAGTAATAGATAGTTATGTGGAAGAGAAAAGTTGTGTGGAAGAAAAAGTTGCACAAGCAGCAGGGATGACCGCAGCCTGGAGAGGATTGTCAGGAAAAGGCCATTCAAAAGTGTTGGAGACTTTCACAAGGAGTGGACTGAGGCTGGAGTCAGTGCATCAAGAGACACCACACACAGATGGATCCTGGACATGAGCTTCAAATGTCGTATTCCTCTTGTCAAGCTGCTCCTGAACAATGTCAGAAGCGTCTTACCTGGGCTAAAGAAACACAGTCACCAAAGATCCATTATCTCCTGCGCTCAAGGACTCAGATCAAACAAACGTTAGTGACAAGCAGCGTGTTGTGTATTCATCCACTGGTGATCAGAGGTTGTGCAGCTCTATCATGAAGCTGGGGAGCTTAATAAAACTGTAGAGGAAGATGAAAGAAAGAGCGCACAAAGCTTGCGCATTACCTCAATATATAGTGACTACGTTTCGAAGGGTGCTCCCTTCTTCATCAGAGCTGGGTTTGGCAGATAGAAACTTCAGTATGGCAGAGTTCCCATGGCAAGGAGATATTCAGCCACTGAGTGTCAGTATTACAGCAGGCTAAACTGCTAAACAGGCTGAACTGCTGTAATACTGACACTCAGTGGCTGAATATCTCCTTGCCATGGGAACTCTGCCATACTGAAGTTTCTATCTGCCAAACCCAGCTCTGATGAAGAAGGGAGCACCCTTCGAAACACGTTAGCCTTCAGGTAATGCGCAAGGTTTGTGCGCTCTTTCTTTCATCTTCCTCTAAAGAAAAACAGACCTGGTCTATTGCTCAGTGGTCCAAAGTCCTCTTTTCTGATGAGAGCAACTTTTGCATCTCATTTGGAAACCAAGGACCCAGAGTATGGAGGAAGAATTGAGAGGCACACACTGCAAGATGCTTGAAGTCCAGTGTGAAGCTTCCACAGTCTGTGTTGATTTGGGGAGCCATGTCATCTGCTGGTGTTGGTCCACTGTGCTTCATTAGGTCCAGGGTCAACGCAGCCATCTACCAGGAGATTTTGGAGCATTTCATGCTTCCTTCCGCAGACAAGCTTTATGGGGATGCTGACTTCATTTTCCAGCAGGACCTGGCACTTGCCCACACTGCCAAAAGCACCAAAACCTGGTTCAATGACTGTGGGATTACTGTGCTTGATTGGCCAGCAAACTCGCCTGACCTGAACCCAACAGAAAATCTATGGGGCATTGCCAAGAGAAAGATGAGAGACATGAGACCGAACAATGCAGAAGAGCTGAAGGCCACTATTGAAGCATCCTGGTCTTCCATAACACCTCAGCAGTGCCACAGGCTGATAGCTTCCATGCCACGCCACATTGTATATGTATATACTATATATATATATATATATATATATATATACTGTATATAGAGAGAGAGAGAGAGATCGAGCACTAACGTGTGTGTGTGCATATGTTTATAAATTTGTTTCACACACACTTCATCTTGTTTTAGGTGAACAGACTAAGTCTCAGTACTAGAAATCAGTTTAGGGCCTGGGCATGTGAGTATTATGCCTGCTCTATTACAATCTGAGTAGCAGCTTTCGAAAACAAAGGGTAGCTCAGTTGGCATAGTATCTAGTTAACAGTAGTTGGTGCAACAACACTGGGCCTAATTTATTGTGCGGCAAACCCTGTTGCCCTATAGCATCTACAATCAAACCTACCCTAAGAAGTGGAAAATACTAATATGAAACTTGAAACTTGACTTTAAATACTTCTCTAAATGCTATATATGTAATTAAATTAACTCAACAACAACATTTCAGTTACCAAACAAAAGGAAGTAATGTTTACTGTAACATCCCCTTACCGTGACGTGCAAAGATCATATCTGGCTTATGTGGAAACTAAGCTATTATTTCCTCAGAAATATGGAAAATTCTCTTATAATTAAATGTATGCTCCTGCTAATGGATTATGTATTACTCTGAAAAATATGTCAATAAAACATAATCTTAAAAAAAAAAAATACTGGATCTCTTCTTGCAATTTATGGTTACCTAAGAGGCTAATTCCTTCTTCTGCATTAGGGGGTATCTAACGCCTCCTGTTACATTCACTGTACTCTCGAACAGTGTTTCTCAACCTTTTTTCAGTCAAGGCACCCTTTAAAATTATGAACATTCCTGAGACACACCCTTATAATTATGGACAGTCTTGGGGCACCTCATTCTAAAATGGAGTGCCTGTAGACTGTCCATAATTTTAAAAGGGCACCCCATTCTAAAATATGCAAAACTATTCTAATAGTTTTATATAACACAACAACATCCACACCTGTAGGACACCCAACATTAGAGGTGATTTATTCTTCCAAAGCAAATACACTTTTGCACATTAGTACTGAGTAGTATTCAAGTGTTCCTCTTCCCACAGTTTTTCTATATCACTGAGCTAATGTGACCCCAGCACTGATGGAGAGGGGTGGGGGAGGGTCGAACTAGGATGCTGAGAAGTGAGAAGGCAGCTGAGATCCTCCTTATCAACTGATGATGTCATTGGTTGTCAGGATGCCGGTGGCTAGAAGGTTGTAATGGTGCACAAAGAAAACCCGTGGCTTTGTGTAACTAAAAGGCAGGCTTGTTCCACCCACTGGCTTGTATACATGTTTTGGGCTATTTTTAGACTTTTTGAAAGGCACACCTGAAGAAACCTCAAGGCACCCCAGGGTGCCTGGGCACCCTAGTTAAGAAAGGCTGCTCTAGAATACAATAAAATTCTCAGAGGACAAGGGAGATCTCTTCTAAATACCGGACCAGGTGGGAAGTGTCAGCTGCCAGATGGATAGTTGCTGCAGCACCCATTTACATTTACAGCCAACTGCAGGAATGCAACCAACGCGTCAGCTGCTAAAGCACAGAGATCTGTTAAATAACCTGGATGATAAACCAACTCTGCAACATCTATTAGAATTTGACATATCTGTTTTTGGTGGTCTGATCACTTAAAGACTTTGTAAAATAAACCTCTCATGAGAAATTACAGGGATGCCTTTACTGATGACCCTTGGAAAATAACAGTTGCCTGGCTGTTCTGATGTCTCGCAAGCTTCAACTTTGAATCAATGAGCCTAAGCAATGAAACAGATCAAGAAAATAAGAACAAAGCCTGAAGTGTTTATCTGCATATACAGTATATTCTTAGTCAGTATCTTGGAGTTTTGAAAGCAGTAGGTCAGCTTAAAGTGTATGTAAACTCTAAGAAAAAAACTTCTATTTTACTCCCTTTTTGGTTTGTTAAATATACAGTTGGAAGTTATATCTGTTTTATAAGTGCAGAATAAAACCTGTAGATACTGTCAGACACCCTGTGAGCTGTAAAATTCCTGTCCTTTCTGCATCTGCTGACTGATATCAGTTATCATTGTTTTCAGCTACACGTGGACTTCAGAACACTTCCCCAATGGTATGGAAAGGAGGAGAGGGGGAGAGATTATGTAGGCCTAAAATACCTTGTCCTAGAGTAAAAAAAAATCTGTTACTATGGGAAGTAAGCATTGCCACCATAGGACAATAACTGTGTTACATGGAGGATAACCAGGTGAAAATAAAGGAAAAAAATAAAAAAAAAAATCCAAAGACCAGTAAGCTGTAATATTAAATGTTTTTCGTGAGTTTAGATAACAGCCCGGCAGCTAACAAATCCAGGAAAGCCTCACAATGGCACTCTGTTTTATTCAGATGGATATATGTTTCGGTTGAAAATATTACTCAGGGGTGAATTATGCAGAAACAAATGATAAGATTGCCTTGTGTATACCCAGATTTATGTTAAATTTATTTATTTTTTTACTTAAACATACTGTAAATAATATGTGATCTCTATAGCCCAAATAGCAAAATAAATAAATGTTTCACATTTTTTCACAAAAGATGCCACAATAAGTGTAAAAGTTAGCATTAATACACTTTTATTCATTTATTTTTAGCTGATGTTCTAAACAGAAAGAAATGTTATTTTGTGCAAATCCTACTATGCCAGGAAGTTCCCCTTAACAGCTCTGTGACTTTATTTTGTAAGTGCTCCCACCCAGTTCAGAGGAAAGCCAGAGCTCTCTCAGCACAGCTTGCTGGCTCTATATAAGCTGCGCAGCTTCCCAGTTCAGCACCCCTCACTGCAAAGATGAGATCTCTCTTCTGTCTGTTAGCCTCTGTTACTTTGCTAACTGGTCTACACGCTGCAGAAGAACAGATTGCTCTATCAGTGAAGCCTGATAATGCCTGTCCTATAAAAATGAAGACTGGAGGAAAATGTGACGAAGATGGCAATTGTCCCTATCAGATAACCATGCCTCCCATGACCATTCAGCTACCTAAGCAGTTTCAGCTGCTTGAAAAAACTCTCAAAGAAGTCCAGAGCCTGAAAGAAATAGTAAATAATTTGAAGAAATCATGTCAGGACTGCAAACTGCAGGCAGATGACAATCTGGAGAAGGACAAGGATGAAGTGCCAGATGGGGGCCAGGTCAATCAAATCCAAGATCTGCAGTCTAAGGTTAAGAAAATGTCAATAAGTCTGAAGAACGCTCGATCCCAAATAACCACCTTGCAGGATCAACTGGAGAAGATGAACTCGGTCAGTATGAACAGCGTGGAAGATTATATCGACAGTAAAATGGCCAATTTATCAAGAGAAATAAACACAGAGGACAAATGCTCATACAACTGTCCACTACTTCAGCCAAATCCAAGTAAGTCTGTTTATTTATACAGGTGCATGCTAAATGATTGACATACCAATATATTTTTACCAAATATAAATGTAAAACTTAATTTTAAAACAAAAAAAACAAAGTTTAAAATGTTAAACTGTGTTATTTAACATGAAGACGTACAGTTTAAACATAAGCTGTAGTTCACTACCAGTGTAAAATAATACAGCAATATACCCTGCATCTGCCCTTAGACAGAATGATCACATATACACTTACTGGCCACTTTATTAGGAACACTTATTCAATTGCTTGGTAACACAAATTGCTAATCAGCCAATCACATTGCTGCAACTCAATTCATTTAGGCATCTATATGTGGTAAAGACAACTTGCTGAAGTTCAAACTGAACACCAGAATGGGGAATAAAGGGGATTTAAGTGACTTTGACCGTGGCTTGGTTGTTGGTGCCAGACGGGCTGGTCTGAGTATTTCAAAAACTGCTGATCTGCTTGGATTTTCATGCACAACCATCTCTGGGGTTTACAGAGAGTGGTCTGAAAAAGAGAAAATATCCAGTGAGCTGCAGTTGTGAGAAGAAAATGCCTTGTTGATGTCAGAGGTCAGAGGAGAATGTGCAGACTGGTTTGAGATGATAGAAAGGCAACAGTAACTCAAATAACCACTCGTTACAACCAAGGTATGCAGAATACCATCTTTGAATGCACAACACGTAGAGCCTTGCAGCATATGGACTACAGCAGCAGAAGACCACACTGGATAGCAAAGTGTACCTAATGAAGTGGCCAGTGAGTGTATTACTGCCCTATTCTTCCAGCTTTCTTTTGTTAGCAGTTAAACTGGCTAGCTCTAATTTTAGGAGTTGCCACATTATTTTTTTGTTACCTACTGTATCCCTTAAACTCATTTCAATGAACTGAGCATTACAGAGCTATACTTACAAGGTGTCATACCATCTTCTTTTTATGTGTTGAAAACTTTACTGTTTCTCTTTATATCTACTTCTATTGCTGTGGTAGCTCCTTATACTATCCGGCTCCCTATGGAGCCACAGCAATGGGCACACTCCCCTACCTGGGCTACTGAGCTATGTATTAGAGGTAAAGGGACCAGTAGAAAAGCTTTGATTGCAATTTTTGCATGCATATTTGAATGTCACACCCTGTGCATTATAAGAAATGTAGTCCTGGCGTCAGACACCGGAATACAATTGTGTACGTGCATTTAGCTGGAAGTGGAGGGAGAAGCGTGGTTACATGGGAGTTAGTGGTGCCTTCTAATGATATGTGGAAAGTCCATTTACAAACATAAGTGCATAGGTTGTTTTTATTCGGAGAGTTTAATACTACTTTAAGATATCCCACACTGAAACTGAATTTATCATCAAACTCTATATAAACCAATAGGTACATTGATACCAGTGAGTGTAATCTACAAAGGTGAAACTATATTTAAAGTGTTTGTACATCTAATTTAGCATCACCATCTAATATATTCAGGATGGAAAATACTGAAATTGTATTACTGCAAAACAGCACAGTGGCTAAGTGGTTGGCACTTCTGCCTAGCAGCATTAGGCAGTTCAAATCCCAGCCACGGCACTACCAGCCTGGAATTTTCATGTTCTCCATGTGCTTGCATGGGTTTCCTCCGGATACTCTGCATTTCTCCCACACTTCAAAAGACATGTTGGTGTTTTAATTGGCTCCTGTCTGAATTGGCCCTAGTAAGTGTATGTGAGATAGAGACCTTAGATTGTTAGCTCCTTGAGGGCAGGGAATGATGTGAATGTAATATATGTGAAGTGCTGTGTAAACTGTTGGTATTATATAAATACATAACCAAATAAACTTTATGTGAATAGCTAAAACCAAATTGAGATACATTTTGTATATGTGATAACTATCACAGAGAATGACACCATTACTTACCCCCCTAGAGCTCTTAACCCTCTTCAGCTACCTCACTGGGCTTTGAAAGAACATTCCCCCACTATTGAAGTCCACCATGTGCTTTCTAACCCCCATAGACTTATATAAACACCCATGCCTAAAATATGTTAGGATGATAAAGCAATACAGCATGCTTCACTAATAATTCTGGTACTTTATGGAATTAAAAGTTAATATAAACACAGATGTCAAGTAAATACATTAGATTTTTAAATAAATAGGAAAAAAAAGTGTTTTTTCTTATACTTGATTAAAGGGATAGTTTACCTTTACCAAAAAAAAAAAAAAGAGAAAAAAAAGAGAGGAAGGCGCCTCTAAGTGCAGTATTGACTTCAGGTCTAAAGAAGGAGCCTATTGAGCATGCTCCGAAATGCATTACCGCCCCCTTCACCTGCTACATCTGATTCTACTCTCCAAGCTTAATTTTTGATGTACAGGCACATCCTGGTCTCTACTTCCTGATCCTATAGGCATAGTATGCTGCTGGACGGCTGGATGTCCCACCTGGATCTAATTACCACACGATGAGTCTTTTTAATCGTTTATCTTGTAAGTGCAAATTTTCCATTGTTTACTGAATAAATTGTCAATACTGCACTTAGAGGCGCCTTCCTCTCTTTTTTTTGTTACTGCATTAGAGCCTTGTTTCCACTCTAAGAAGAGCTGCCTAAGTGTTACTGCTCCCATCCACCCATCCCTGATATCCATCTGGCACCTTTATCTTACAGCTACAGAGGTTGGGCTCCAACAAGCGCGCGCCCTATATATATATATACATTTTCACCTTTACCAAAACACTGCCTATGCAGATAAAGGGGTGGCTGTAGATAAAAACAAACTGTGCAGCTCTGACTAAAGTTGAATAATACCCTTGCTATAGGCGTAGGCCATTTACGTACCTCATGAAGCCTGACTGGAATGCTCCCAGGATGTTGCTAAGTGAGGCCTAGTCATTACTACTCACCCCCCCACCATCACAGGAGTGAATTCTCAGCCACTGCGCTCAGAGCTAATACATCAGGGGAGAGAAAACATGTGAGGGGGGCCTAAATCAGAGAAAAAGCTCACTCCTGTGATGGTGGGGGTGAGCAGTAATGACTAGGCCTCACTTAGCAGCATCCTGGAAAACAAACTCTGCATCTCTGATTAAAGTTGAATAATATCCTTGCTATAGGTGTAGGCCATTTATGTATCTCATGAAGCCTGACTGGAATACTCCTAGGACATTGCTAAGTGAGGCCTAGTCATTACTGCTCACCTCCTCCATCACAGGAGTGAGCTCTCAGACGCTGCATTCAGAGCTACGACATCATGAGAAAGAAAAAGCATTCGAGGGCGCCTGAATCCGAGAAAAAGCTTACTCCTGTGATGGTGGGTTGATCAGTAATGACTAGGCTTCACTTAGCAATGTCTTGGAAGTACTTAGCAACGTCCTGGGAGTATTCCAGTTAGACTTCATGAGGTACGTAAATGGCCTACACCAATAGCAAGTTTGTTTTTATCCACAGATGCCCCTTACCTGCATAGGCAGTTCTCTGGTGAACTATCCCTTCACAGTTCAGCTTTAAACGATAGACAAACTCTTAACCCCTTGTTTAAAGTTTGACATTTATTTGTCATCTTAAAGAGGAGAGGGGTTATAGATATGTCCGTCTAATCACATTGTGACTGACTCACACCTCCAAAGCCCAGGGTGATGTCAGATGGGTACTTGCAACATTTTTCCACAATACCATTGTCATAAATTCGTTGCATTGTATTACATTACATTTGATGTTGATGGGTCTTTTTTTAAAGATGTCATAGTAAAGCCTCTCTCAAGCTATTAAAAAATGAATTTCATAAATGAAAAATTGCATTTATCTCTTTAACAAGTTCTTTAAATTGCTCCAGAGATACATTGTTACAAGGCCAGGGCAGATCCAAATCAAATGTAGTAATTTCTGCTACATAATAATATATTGACTAACACATATCAAACAGAGCCAGAAGAAATTGTTCTCCAAAGAGAGGTAACTTACTGGAGAATGTAGTGGAAAAAAAGGAAATGAGAGGTAATTTTCTGATAATGGAAGAAAACTTGGGATCACGAGTTACAAATTAATGACACAGAAAGAGATTGAAAACAAATCTGCAGAAAAACAGGTGCTTGCACTGGCTGGCGTCTGCTCCAGCTCATTGTGTATAAAGATTTCCAATAAGCAAAACTTGGCAAATGATTTAAGTAACATAGAGCAATGCTTAGTGAGAAGGAAAGTGCTCCACAGGGGCTTGTTGAAGATAAAGCAACAGGGAGGAAGGAAAGTAAAAAACAGGTAACTAAGCTTACTGCTTATGTTTAGAAAGTTGTATTACTCATACTAAGAACAGCAAGTTACTATTTAACTAATTATTTTTTCAACCCCTAAGCTATTATTTTTAAGTAATGGATATTAATCAACGTTTTGATCATGATGGGGGTTCCACATGGATTGACTGACAACACTTGTAACTTGATAAAGAGCTTGAAAGTGTTATGCTTGAAAGTGCGCAGTCGTGCTAATTTTTGTATGAAGACACACTTTTGCAACTTGGATATCTCATCTCATTTGTTATATACATATACACACAATATTGCCAAAAGTATTGGTACGCCTGCCTTTACACGCACATGAACTTTAATGGCATCCCAGCCTTAGTCCGTAGGGTTCAATATTGAGTTGGCCCACCCTTTGCAGCTATAACAGCTTCAACTCTTCTGGGAAGGCTGTCCACAAGGTTTAGGAGTGTGTCTATGGGAATGTTTGACCATTCTTCCAGAAGCACATTTGTGAGGTCAGGCACTGATGTTGTATGAGAAGGTCTGGCTCACAGTCTCCACTCTAATTTAATCCAAAGGTGTTCTATCGGGTTGAGGTCAGGACTCTGTGCAGGCCAGTCAAGTTCCTCCACCCCAAACTTGCTCATGCATGTCTTTATGGACCTTGCTGGTGTGCAGTCATGTTGGAACAGGAAGGGGCCATCCCCAAACTGTTCCCACAAAGATGGGAGCTTGAAATTGTCCAAAATGTCTTGGTATGATAACGCCTTAAGAGTTCCCTTCACTGGAACTAAGAGGCCAAGCCCAACCGGATTATGGTTTCAACAGTGTTCACTGGAACATTCAGAAGTTTAGAAATCATTCCGTAACCAATGCCATCAGTATGTTTTGTAACAATAAGGCTGCAAAGTTCTTAAGAGAGCTCTTTGCTTTTACCTATCATGAGATGTTTCTTGTGTGACACCTTGGTAATGAGACACCTTTTTATAGGCCATCAGTTGAGACTGAATCAGCTGATATAAATTTGCACTGACCAGTGGCAGGATTGCTTTCTAAACTACTGATAGATTTCAGCTGGTATCTTGACTTTCTATGCTTTTTTTGCACCTCCCTTTCTTCATGTGTTCAATACTTTTTCCCTGTGTCATTCCATTTTATTACACATAATTTCATTTCTGAACTTATTTGTTTTGGCTTCTTTGTATATATAAAATCTTTTGTTGTTTGACAAATAAACACAATGCACAACAAAAGGAATCCCAAAGCACTAAAGGTTATCTAGTGAGACCGCAAAGCAGGCCCATTACAACCTTGGACTAAACTGCCTGATAAGGCACAAGGGATTGCTCTGATGCCTTATTAAGTAAATAAATTATTTCAACACAGCTAAAAGTAATAACACAGCTCTCACACGGGTGTATACTTAAGTGAATGAGTAAAGTAAATGAGGCTTTTCTCATGACTGGTTTCGTTTAACTCTATTTTTATAGAATATTGACTTAATTACTGATTTATACGTTCTCTAATTTATTAGCGACTATTTACATACAGTGTGTTCATTTCTTACATTTTCTATTGCATGTTGTTTTAGAAGGAAAACAACAGAATACATAACAGTGTCATCAGGTTTCACAGACTTCTTTTGGCAGCACAAACTAATTAGTGACATTACATACATGACGATTCCCCTCCACACTTCCTATGTTGTGGAAGCATTTCCTTGATGATACCTGGATAAAATACCTCTGTTTATAATTCAGATGGGACATGGTGTTCAGTGTCACACTGCCACTTCCCTTACACACAAGTCTGCACACAGGGTTGAGAACGGTCCTACATTTATAACTTTTTTATCTCCAAGAAACAGCTGCAGTGATAAATGTCTGTTATATAAATCAATTAATGACAGCGGAAACCACCGAGTTCTAACATCATCCACCCTTTCCTATTCAGGAAGCCAAGCTCTCTTTCGGTGATTATCTTTCCCATTGTCCTTTTTAAGAGACTATACATTCATATTTTGAAGATGTGTAATACATATTTTTTGGAAAAAGTTCAGTCCACAAGTTCACAAAAAAGTGAGAGTTGTCTTAGTAAATTGAGACGTGGGAAAGTATCTGAAGTATGTAAATGTTTAAGAATACTTTTAGGTAAATAAACAGGAAGTAGAAAGTTCAAGCCTTGTATACAATACAATATTCAGCCAAGTGAACAGCACTACAATACCAAGAGTACCATCAGTCATTTCTATCTAGACAAAAGGTTCTCCACATATCTGTAGTTTTTCAGTGAAATGTCACGAAAACAATTATTTCTAAATATATACTTTTATTTTTATACTTTGCTACAATTTTCAGTTTATCTGAAAATAAATTTGTTGCATGAAAACAGTCCCCAAAACTAAGGTTGTCCTTAATTTAAATAATCTGGCAACATATGACATGAAAAACAGAATGAACTACCATTTCAAATCTTAGATGTCAAAGGCATCAACTTCATCAACGCAGTACCCACATACCATCAGCGAGAATACAAATTGAACATACTATCATTTTCAAGTACTACAACACTAACTACATTGTACAGTGAACACAGCTTGGTACTGCTCTATCAGATGTCTCCTTAGATAAGGTTATTGAAGATCAGTTTTGTGCCACTAGATTCTGTATTAGTCAATATATTACACTTCTACGTGCAAAATAATTACTTTAGAAAAGAATGGCTACAGTATTCTCTGTAAAATTCAGAATATACAGGGTGTGAGGCTTGCATTACATTTTACAGATTATTACCAAAAATCATATCTTTTGTTAAAATCATATTTTGTATTATGAAATGAAAGAGAGAAGATGCTGTTAGAGTTGAGTTGTTAGAGTTGTGATTTATTTCTTTGTTTTCTTTACAGGTATGCAGCTCATCTACAAAGACTGTTCTGATTACTTCAAGCTAGGCAAAAGGCTTAATGGCATTTACCACATCCTGCCAGATCCAAAGAACAAAACATTTGAAGTGTACTGTGATATGGAGTCCATGGGTGGAGGATGGACTCTGCTGCAGAATCGTCAGGATGGCAGCATACATTTTAACAGGACATGGAACGAATATAAAAATGGCTTTGGTAACCTTACTGGAGAGTTTTGGCTGGGTAATGATAAGATACATCTGTTGACCAAAAGCAGTAACATGATGCTAAGAGTAGAACTTGAGGACTTTAAGGGTGTGAAGGAATATGCAACATATGACCAGTTCTATGTCGCCAATGAATATCTTAAATATCGATTGTCAGTCAGTGGCTACAGTGGAACAGCGGGTGATGCCCTCCACTTCAGCAAACTGTACAACCATGACCAAAAATTCTTTACAACACCGGATAAAGACAATGACAGATATCCTTCAGGAAACTGTGGGGCTTACTACAGCTCTGGATGGTGGTTTGATGCATGTATGTCAGCAAATCTTAATGGTAAATACTATAAGAGTGACTACAAGGGAGTGCGTAATGGAATTTTTTGGGGTACATGGAAAGGTGTGAATGATGAAAGCATCAGCAGTTTTAGGCAATCCTTCAAAACTGTTAGAATGATGATCAGACCAAAAGACTTCTGATCATAAATGTTTTTTCTAGTTTTGGCCAGAGTGGGGAAAGGTTACTGTCATTGTCCCTTTTGGGGGGGGGGGGTTATTTACTCCCACTGTGGGTCTTCGTGGTGAACAAAACCTGGGGGAAATCTAAAATTTTACAGTTCACACTGGAACAGAAGTGGAGGAGAATGTTCTGTGTGTTTCAGCTGTCAAATATGGAATTTCACCCCACTCTATGGGTACTTATGTCTCACCTTCTATTGTGTCTTTAGGGAAGAAAATGAGCGAAAATCTTAGAAGGACACAATGGCAATAAAAAGTTGACAGAAATTCTTAACATTTCTGTTTGCCCTTTTGCAAAATTAGAGTTTGGAATGAGTTGAAGGATCTTCTTATTTATGTACAATATGTAATACAATGTACAACAACCTCCAACAAAAAAAAAAACAATAACTAAGTAGTGACTTCAAATATGACACACATTTACTGAAAAAAACTTTGGTACAAGATTCATTATAAAATAATCTATCTTCAGAAATCTACATTTCTGAACCGGACCTAATGACAATACTTAGGTGTAGCTAGTGGTGCCTGAAAGTTCTTATATTAGCCTTTAAACCCATCCCAGTATCCCTTTTGGTTTCTAGGGCCAGGCTGTACATGGGACCCTGACTTCTACTCAACTTGAGAATAACCCCATGCCTTTCTGGTGATAAGTCCCATTCATGCCATTTAATTTCTAAGCAATAGAGACTCTACTGCCCACTGTAGTTTTTGACCGTTGAATGAAAAGTGAGGAGTGAAAAGTCAAGGCCCCAGACACAGGATTCAAGGGCGTTCCACTGAGGCAAAATCATCCATTATAGACCCTCTCCGTAAAAACAACTAACAAGGCCAGTTTTCTGCAAGAGAAAAGGTAGCATACTTTCCTGTCTAATGGTCCATGTCTTCTACCTCCTGTCCATTCCAGCGCTGTAGCCTCCCTTAATCTCTTCAGTATTCAACTAGGAGTGCTGATTGACTGTGTCCCCTGTCTGTGCTTGCCCCTGTCTCCCTTTCAACCTCTGTCACTACAGGATGCAATAATGAGTACAATGGACAGCATTGAAGATTTCTTCATCCATGCTGTTTGGCATGGATGGATGAATCTAATAGCCCGTGGGCTGAACTTTCTGTTGGAAGTTTTGTCCTGTCTATAATGTCCATTGACTTAACTGATACCTCTTAATATAAGGGATATGGTAGGATACCCAAGCAAAATGACAAAGGGTTCCAGCTAGTGATCAGCAAATTAATTTTCATGCTATGCAAATCAGTGAATTAATGATTCACAATTGACTGGAATCATGACAGATGTACAAGGACAAAAGTCAAAACTTTGCAAATGACAGATTCTCCTGAGTCGATCAACACTAGGGCACAGACAGAATGATGGCAGTAAATTTACAGGCATTAATATTTGTAATTAAATCATTTGGTATCCTTTCTCCCTATATTTTATTAGGCTATTTGTATCCATATAATGTGGAAATATAATAGTTCTGTAATACACCAGAGGGCATATTTATAAAACAGTGAACCAGACATGCAAGCATTCACTGCAGGTGAATCTTCCAGGTGAATATGTTTTAAATGACAATGACTGATTGACCACCAGTAAATGTTTGGTGAAATTCTCATTTACTGCTTTATAAATATGCTTAGATGTTACCAAAAAACAACTTTCAAGATTCTGCCTGTGAGTAAGGGTTTGCTTAAGAAAGTAAAGAGTACTTGCATTCACTGTGTAATACTGCTAATCGGTTTTCTGTTTCCAAACTATAAAGTGTGTATACACAGGAATACCTGTCTTATATAGAAAATATTGGGTTTAAATCTGAGTCAGTGTTTTTTTTTTCTCTTGGGTGAGTTACTGCCAGTATTACCAAAATAAAGAAAAAGAAGATCTATCATTATATTTTTTATTGTCCTGCCCCCTATGGGACAAAATACATGTAGTATTTTGCCCCATGTTGCCAGGTGCTTCCTAAACCTAGGTAAAAGGTCCAACCTGCACCCCTCCTTTCTTGCCACAGGTGATCTGACAACAGCTAGGAAGGAGACAGACACTTCATAACGATTGCCATTGCATGTCTCGGAAAAGGCTCATAGCTGATTTGGAATTAGACGTGACAGGAGGGGAGGGCTGCCAGTCAGAATTCAAAGGATTAGGAAACATGTACTACATGTACTTTGTCCCATAGGGCCACCACTTCTAAGGACTGGGAAGCTATATTATATTACATTTTTTTTTTCAGTTTAGATATGCTTTAAGGAGACAAAGCCATGCATTTTTTTTTTTCATTGTTGAGTGCTGCATTTTTTTAAACAGCTTTTATCTACCCCTTTGCTGTTGTTTCTGTTTTTCATATGTCTGAAGGTCTATGTTAGCTTTAGGTGAAGTGACCATATTCAGTTTTGTTTACAGACCTCTCCTTGGGAACATAAGGTGGTAGGGCCCCAGGTTCAACATCAAATTATTAGTACTCTCAGTAACAGGGAGTGATTTCAATAAATAAATATTTTAAAAAATATCAAGCACCAGCATACAGTCTCATTTATACCTTACCACTTTACCCTTTATGGTGTGTCTGCTCTGAGCACACATCTATAAGACAGGTCCCCTTAAAGTACACTGTTGATTTTTTATCCAATGTTGTTGATAAAGATAATATTTTTGTACATATTTAAATATTGTTTTAAAACGCTGTAGTAATATATATTGTAAATGATACAAATAAACATTTAGTAGTTTTTGTGTTTTTTGCAACAACAACAATCAAAGTGCACACAAGCAAGTTTTTCTTCCTAAAACCTATAGTTTTAAAGCTGTGAAACTATTTTACTTCCTGTGCTGGAATTTCCACAATGTACGTCTTCCATAACTTTACCATTTTAGGGCTGAGAATTCATCTTGTAAAATATCAAAACAAGCAAATGATCTAACGTTCACTAACTGCTAAGATTAGCATGCTTCTCTTACATGAAAATCATTTTCCTTTTTTCTGGAAGCACAGAGCATTTAGCAAATAAGACTGGTTATAGTATATATAAAAACCCAGTTGCTAAAATATCATAGAATTAAACATGTTCATGTGATTAAAAATGCAATTTTCAGTCTTCTTAGATCTGCAGCTGAACCTGCTATGAAGCTCTCTAAAAAGAACACAACCCCCATCCTCCTCTCTTTTTTGAATATCCAATTACTGTCTGTGCTGGCCCAGCTACTGTACTCCTCCCCTCACCTCCCTATATATTATTATTATTATACAGTATTTATAAAGCGCCAATAGTTGGCTCAGCGCTGTACATTACAAAGGGGGACAGAACATGTGACAGAACAATACCAATACAATGCAAAACATGAGGGGATTGAGGGCCCTGCTCTTTCGAGCTAACAATCTAGGAGGGAGGGGATAGTACAGGAGGAGATAGCTATAACCTTATATATAACAGCTGGGGGGGAGAGGTGAAGGGGAATACAATAAACTACAATAAACTGTCAATTGTGTGACAGCTAGGGCTGCTGACATCTCATCCAAGATGGTGGTGGCCAGCACCAGTCCCAGGGATTTTGAACAACTACACCAGAGATGTTCTTAAAGGTAAATATAATGCCTAAAACACATGAAATGCCCATATATTCATATGCCCATATAGATTGTTGTGGAGATGAATGGTCTGGTGACAGGGCCTCTTTAAAGGGTTCAGACACTTCTTATTATAGCATGATAACATTGTTCATGTCTTCCAATTGTTTTCCTGTGTCATCAACATGTTACACAGGCTGCAAATGTAGACTATAAAAGTGGATGCTTTAACATACATTACATGGACATGGTCTAATGTTGGATTCAACTGGACACAGCCGATGACTGATCACTACACGGGCATACTGCCAGTGTCATGTGATCACTGTGACCAATCACAGCAGACCACATGACAATTGTATACCTTACCTTACATGCCATCCAGTGTATACAATTGTGTTGTCAGCTTTGATTCGTCACAACAGTCAAATGGTATAGACAGGGCCAATCACAGCCCATCTGTACCATGTGATGAGATTTGGCCAATCACAGCTAATCACAAAAAAAGACACTGAATTAATCCATTTCATTCATTAAAAATGGTTGCTAATATCAATGAAATACATTGGTATAAGCAGTCATAATGTGTAAAAAAAAAAATCCTGATCACTTGCCCAGAGTAGTACAGTGTTACCATGGTAACACTGTATTACTCTGGCCACAGACTGTTGAAAAAAAGAGAAAAAATGTAATATAAAAGTAAAAAAAAAATAGAAAAATTTTTATTTAATTATTTTTTACATACTGTCACCAGTCAGTGTCCCTGATCACCCCAACACCAGTTATATGATAAAGCTGTACTGTGACAAAAAAATTACAACTTCAAAAAAACTCGCCATGCCTCTTACTAAATATCTTGAACTGTCTATTTTCCAAAAATGGATCATGTGGGGGATATTTGTACCATCCTGGCTTTTTCAGGCCTCAAGAAATGTGATTGGTTCTCAGTACATCAGGACTGATCAATTGTCAGATATATATATCCCATAGTTTGTGGACTCTATAACTTTCCTACGGACTAAATATTATACACTAATTTGGGTTATTTTCACCAAAGAAATGTAGCAGAATACATTTTGACCTAAATTTATAAAGAACAGTTATTTATTTGCAAACTTTTATAACAGAAACAAAGGAAAACGTGTTTTTTTTCTTCAAAAGTTTGTTTAGCAAAAAATAAAAAATACAGTGGTGTTCAACCACTGCCAAAAGAAAGCTCTATTTGTATGAAAAAATTATAAAAAATTTTTTGGGTACAGTGTTGCATGACCGCACAATTGTCATTCAAAGTGCAACAACGCTGAAAGCAGAAAATTGGCCTGGCCAGGAAGGGGGTAAAAGTGCCCGGTATTGAAGTGGTTAAAACATAACTTGTGACATATACCTGTTATGTGA